AATTGAATTTGTACTATGATGACCTCATAAAATGAAACTTAGTGAAAAGTGATCTTGTAGAGAATGCCTTATCTACAAACATATCGACATTTCAAAGAGAATCGATGAATATTGAGAGAAATACACTACATTTTCCATAAATACAATGACGTCATAATATGCAATTTTGTATTTTTGACTTCCAAGGCCATTATGATGACGTTAAGATGTACTTAATGGCCAAAGAGATATGAAATCATACCTCCGACTCATACTCTACTAAATATGAAAAAAAAATTGGCAATCCCTATTCATCCCAATGGACTTTTTATAGGCATGTTTTGCCCATATATGCAATGTATTACAAAAATCGCGCGTACGGACGGTTATCTTGAACGGACGCTCATTCCGTTTTTAATGGTGATAAAGAGCTAAACATGGTATCAAATTTTCCGGAAAAATATGAGGAATATTCGGTCAAAAGCTTTTGCGGAGAAAATTATTTTTCGTTCGGCCGTGACGAACGAAAACGTGCAAAAATGCGTGTTTTGCGTGATTTTTATGAAAATTTGCTTATAATGGCCTGAAACGTATGCAAAAAAAATTTAAGACGATTTAGAGCATTTTAAATTTTTGCGCGCGCATTAACGCGCGCACGAACGCGTACGCGCGCGTTTACGCACGTTTATGACCTAAAATTGACCCGACGGATATTGATCTAATCATGATAAATATGAATGAAAAATTACTATCCGTTATGAAGATATGATCATAAGTTGATTTTCACAAAATGGCGCCTGGATGACGTCACGATGACTTTGAGTATTTGAAAAGTCACGCAGTTCTAAGTTAGACTAAGATCTATCATCAGTGAAAGATTCATAACAATGGCTTTATTGAGTCTTGAGATATCCTGCGAACAAATTCAGGAAGAAAATATAAATAAATAAAAAATAACTAGACTTTAATTCGTCACTTAGAGAATTAGGTGAGAAGTATGATAATGGTCTACATAACGAATAATGCATTACACGATATATATTATTTGTAAAATGCTTCTCCCATTGATATGCTTCTCCCATTATGATCTATTCATATGTCAAGATTAAATTGTGTCTCCTTGATCATCATGGATCTAGGGAAGATAGATTGAAAACAATATATGACCTTTGAACCTGTGCAGTAACCAGTTACACATTTGACTCTAATTACATCATGAAGAACACCTTTTGACGATTTTTATCTTATCAAAGAAATGAAAATGGAATTGATAAATGATTATCATCATTATGATAATGCTGATCATGATGATCATGATCATGAGCGCGGCATGACATCTTATTTGAAAAATGAGGGTTGATTTAGATAGCATATAGTCTCAGCTACAACATACTAAAAAATCAACAAAATCCAAGTCGAAAAATAACGGCGATATTGCTCGCAAAAGACAGGAATGTAGACTCCAGAGATTTTAGAAAAAGTCATCTCCCATAGGGATTACACGCAAAAAAGTAATGGATTAAGTGAAAATAGGGTAATAATAAAGTAAAAAGGGTATTTATGACATTATTTGCGAATCTACGGTTTAAATAATCAAAGGAGATGGTACAGTGAAGGTCAAAAGGAAAAAAAAAAGTGAAAAAAAAAAGTGTTGGAGACACCCGGACTCGAACCAGGGATCTCGAGGTGGAAGTCAAGTGCGTTACCTATATACAAAACATCCCCATAGCGATTACACGTAAACGGGAAATGGGAATTCAGAAATCCTACTTTGCAAGTGAAATATGAGCATGATTTCCGACATCTAATCGAAAAATAAGGGAACACTTTGATAGCTCATTGTCTCAGCTACAACATATCCAAAGCTCAGCGAAAAACAACGCTAAAAACAACGGAGATTTGCTCGCGAAAGACAGGAGTGTAGAATCCAGTTTGAGGAAAAAGTCATGTCCCGTAGAAAATACACGCAAAATGCGAAAAATTGACATGCCTCCTTAATCGCAAAAATACACCATGATATTTTGTCAAAAATAAAAATTATGAATATACATTTGTAGAAAATTGTCTCAGCTAGAACATATCAAAATTAAAAAGAAAATAGATCAATATTTAAAGAGATACAATCAATTTCCAAAAATATGCTGGACGTCATAATATGCAAATTGAAATTTTGAGGTTGGAGGCCATTATGATGACGTCATGAGTTAATTGAGGATAAAATGAGATATGAAATCATATTTTCCGACTCATCATCTATCCAAATATGAAAAAATATTAGGAGTTTCTATCTATTCTAAAGAGTTACAATGAATTTTATATAGGCATGTTTTTGCCCATGTATCGTAGATAAAGATAACGCAAATCACGCGTGCTGTCACAACTTTGACGGACGCTCATTGCGTTAATAAAAGGTGAACAAATTATCAAATGCTTGGAAAAATGTACCAAATATGATGTCAGAAAAAAATCGGCGATTCTATGTTGCAAAATGCCAGTACGCGCGAAACGCGC